TCCGTGATCCGATCCGTGATCCGGTCCGTGATCCGATCCGTGATCCGGTCCGGTCCGATCCAGGTTTTGTCGACGCCGCTCTTAGCCTGAATTTCAGCCGCCTCCTCCGCTCGCTGAGTCACTCGGGGAGAGAGACATCGTCTCTCTCCCCGAGTGACTCAGCGAGCGGAGGCGGCGGCTGAGATTTAGGCTAGGCTTGCTCTGTGCACCCCAGTGGACCTCTTCCTTTCAAAGATACGAAAATTCCTCGGAAATGAGTAAAACTGGATTGAAATGCGAACGCCATACTTGACCGTACTTGTACTCGAACCAACGTCACCTTAAATTGATCACGTGGTTTGCTCCAGGATCCGTCAAACCATCGTCGGAGTCCTGTCCCATATTTTCCCTTCCAAACTTCCATCCCCCCTTCTCTTCCTGGAGGACATGGTTTGAAACAGAGGGTTCTGGGCACTGAAAATCTCAGAAGACGAAGAAAATATTTAGCTGTTTGTTTGGATTCGTTGCTGGTGAGCGATGAAATATTGAGTGGACGTAACCATAACGAAACGATAAACTCCGGGGAGAGCTGGGGACGAGAAAGGTCAAGATGGCGGACGAATGTAATAATGCTCGATCTATTTTTGTAGTGGATGCCTTCACAGATAAGGCTTTTGGAGGAAACCCAGCGGCCGTATGCCTTGTAGGAGCAAACGTTAGTTAACTGTTAAGATAACGAACTAGTTTGCATATCCTCAGATTTTTGCAACATGTGCCACATTGATTTGACTCACAAGCAATCCAAATTGCATTTTTAAATTAGTCTTAGATAAGCTTAATGGAAAGCGGAGTCTGCGTCTCATTCTGAAAGTTGCTTTGGAAAATGAAAGGGCTAATCTCCAGAACACCCGGCCACTTATTAGCATCTCACTGAATAAGAATAGCAACTATTGTTATCTACCTCGTTCTTCAAAGCACACCAACACATGTAAATAAAGTGGCCGGGTATTCTGAAGTTGCTCCCACTCAGGTTAGCCTGAATAGCTCTCAGGTTAGCTTGTTTACAGTTAGCTCTCAGTAATGGAAATGATAATACGGTATTAGCAAAAAAATCCTCAGTCCACGGTCTGCAGTCCGCAAATGTCATACACTGGGCCCAGGGTGTTGGGTCCCATGGATGATTTTCAAAACCTAGCCATGCTCTGCTAGCACCATTTAGTGCATTCTTAGCTTGCAAACACAGACAAAGCATGCAATAAAAATAGCAAAAAATCCATCTGTGTTTTCAAGCTTACTACATTAAGTTTTGAAATACGTAGACACATGTACAGTAAAACGATGCCAGTTTAATGATGTTTTTCATGTTGTATATAGGTGATATAAGAATTTACATGCATACCAGCCATACTGCTATGGTGTCATCTAACACCCATCCTTACGTAAAAAATGTACCTGTTTTGACCCTGAAATAAAATGGTTTAGAAAATACAGAGATCTTTTTTTTATAAAAAGATGGATAAATAGGTTTCTTAAGAGTAAGATGTTATCATTAATCATCATTAACTTATTTTGCTTTTAATTCAGGAATTAGGTGATGACATCTTGCAGAAAATTGCAAAAGAAATGAACCTGTCTGATACTGCCTTTATCTTTGAGAATGAGCACAACACCTACAGTAAAGGTACTGATAATAGAATTATTTGGTTAATTAGTAAATAAGGGTAGGTTGATATATATTTCAGTGTAAAGTACACATACCTGTTGATTCAGATGCCAAAATTAATCTGTTGGACTCTAAATACACTGAAAAACAAAAAAAATGTGAAAACTGACACAAACATTTATTTATGCATTACGTTTGGCACACAAAATACCCAGTGTCTGAATCAAAGCTGCATGTCTGTTCAGGGATTCTATTTAGGGCTGCAGGCACCGGACAAATTGACCAGCTGTGAGGACGATTTTGCCACACTGATTTGACTTTCTAGAAGAAAACTATACTCATAAAGAAGTTCAGTTAAAAAAGGTTTGCCTTCCTGTGTTAACTAGTTTCCCTCCTGCTGAAAACGTTAATGAAACTCCTGCTGTTCCAAAGTCAAGATTCACGTTTGAACCTAAAAATAGGTGTTCTTTATTTCAGACACTGAAGTTTGCTTGTTCTTTGTTCAAAGTATTAGGCTTCGTGCACAAACAGTTAGCACTTGAACAGGACCCTCCCCATTCCAGCCATCTTCTAGAATTTATAATAGTATTTATTTTGGCTTATCAGGATCCTGCTTTGGTCTTCGTTGGTTCACGCCAAAATGTGAAGTACCTTTATGTGGACATGCAACCTTAGCCTCAGCAGCTGTTTTGTTCAACTCATTGGGTAAGACGAGAAAATTGTTTTTGCACTTAAATTATTGCTAATTTATAATAGGATGCATAACACATTACCGGTATATCAAGTTAATTTTGATAATTCTTTGCAAATGCTACCTTCAAACTGATTTTTGTATACATTTAATACCAATTTTGTCCTATAACATCATATTAATGGCAAGATTTCTGTTAAAAAAGGTCAAATCTGCATGTGAGCCAAGTGACCCATCATGCCACAGCTTATCCTGGTTTTTGTAGCATGAAGCGACTAGGAGTATTTCTACTCCCCCCTGGATGGGGTGCTAGTCCATCACAGGATTACCCACGGCATTAAAATTGCTGGTCCCCATTTATACACCTGGGTGGAGAGAGACACTGTGAGAGTAAAGTGTCACCCTAGCCTGCATGCAGGCTCTCATGTGTTGCAACAGGACCAAAGTCTGGTCGATGAGCAAAGTCGCAAGAGGTGCATCAGCAAGTAAAGTAAATGATAGCCTGCACGCAAGGCATTGTTTTCCAAATACAGTGTGTTGGCCCATGAACGCAGCATTCTGATTGGTGAAAAATGACAGGTCCTATTAAAATGACCAAAACCAGCAGAGATTATCGAACACAAACATGGCATGGCATCCGAGAATCCAAGTGTGGCATTTATCCTGGAAGCTTTTCGAAAACTATCCATCTATCTTTCCAACTGGTCAATCTAAAACACGAACAGGAAAAAGGTGTGAATTGTCTTTCAGAAGGAAGGGATGTTTTTGTGGTCATGCCAACTGGATATGGTAGACGTCTTATATTTCAACTGTTCGCAACTGCTGTGATGATCAAGAAAGTTCGCTGAAGGGCAACATTGCGATACTGTAGCGTTAGTGCTTACCCGCTAACCAGCATAATTCAGGATTAGGTAAAGGAGGGAAAATCACTTGGCTCAGATTGTGCTGTGATTTTGTCCAAGGTTTGTCCAATGTTGCGTGCAGCAAAACACAAGTGCTATTTGCACAATTAAAACTAATGCCTCCACATGCAATTTGCTATCATGTTTGTTAATGTTTTTCTCAATCCCTATTGGCTAATAATTTGACACATTAAGCTAGCAAGTTGTCAAAATCTTGACACCTTTGGAGGGGCTGTATTCAGAGAACAATAGCGTCCATGCAAGCTCTCATTCTCACAGGCTCGCTTCGCTTGCCAACTCTTGCTTTGTTCGCTGATGGCTTTGCTCATGCCACCAATCATGAGAGCCTGTTTGCAGCCTAGTCTTGTTTAAGGGCCCATTAACCGATCTTTTTGAGCCATTGCAAAGGAAAATTTATTCTCATACAACCTCATCATTTTTAGTTACTTCAGAGTTATTTCATGTGTTTTAACTTTTTCATGATTAGTAACACTAGTGATGACGTCATCAGGCCACGCCCATGGTCATGTGACTAATACTGAAAAAATGCAAAGGCTCCCTGGCAAATTAATTTATTGGGATTTTTTTGATTGATTTAATATTTTAATTTAAATCCTCATTACGCTATGCAGAGATTTTGTTTCATTTCTAAAAGGTCAGATTTTGAGAGAATTTCAAAATATTAAAAAATTCGTAATTTTCTGAAAAAAGCATGATTTTGAAAAAGGAATGCATAGCTATCTTTCTAATGTTGGCTTTGGTCGCAATCTGTTGAAAAAGGCTGGATTTAATGAAAAACCGCGTTTCCTTTAGCATTTAAAGAAACCCGAAGTGCGCCAGATATACATTGCAAGTTACCCTATCAGCGCATGCACAATTTACACTAGCAGCGCACTTCGGTAAGATCAAACAAAGCCACACGGAGTTAGTTTTTCTCTTTCTTTTGCTCTTGTTTTTCTGTCTTTTTCTTATTTTGTCTTTGCTTGTACTTTTTTTTACTTTGCATTTTGTGAAACACAAAGAAAAACATCTAAAATGTAAGCGAATTTGGAAGTTATTGAGTTGCTTTTATTTTCTGCGCTCAGGCTGACGTAAGTAACCAGAAGTGAAATTTCACCTCCTTAGCAATGTGTGTGAGCGCACAAATAAATCGGTTAATGGGCCCTTAAGATCTCAGCACAATGTCCACAGCCAGAGGTTGAATGTGAACCACTTGATTTGGAGTCCAGTGCACTTACCATGAGGCCACCACATTTCCCACAGGATTTCTGTTGATTGACATTAAATATGACTGCCGTTAGTAACCATCTGACAATGATTTGTTTGTGTAATTTAGGGAACCCAAACACAGAAGTGACATTTGAAACTTTAAGTGGAAATTTAATAGCCAGAAGACAAGGTAAGCCATGAAATTTAAACAACAATATTTGTATTTTCATTACTATTAGACAAAATTAAGGTCTAAATATCAAGTACAGTTCAGCAGGAACATAGGGAACAGTGGAAGAGTATACTAATAACAATATTCTTTGTGTGCATTGATTTTTAGGTTCATCACTATCCTTAGATCTTCCATTAATTGACAGCGAACCTTTGCTCGAAGTATGTTGTCTCCATGTATTTTTGTCAGGCCTTTTTAGCCAGATGGGTGTCCAGGCATTCACTTTTGAAAGCAAATTGTTTTTTTTTCCATGTGTTGCTTTATAAATTTTTGGTTTGAGCAGACCCTTAGCACATTTTGGACACCTACTGTTCTGAACTTTTATTTAAGGTGGCTTACTTCAGTTTTTCTGAGACTCGGTAGCACACGCTATGATTGCCTGCCAGACATCAGTACTAGTCGTGCTTGCAAAAATGACGCACCAAACCCTAAGAAAAAGAAAAATCATTTTCGCAATTGAAAGGCATTAAATCACCTTGGTATATGTAGTGATAGTTTCAAACTCCGTTCAAACATGTTTTAAAGGCTACGGCTAGGACAACGAATGCTGATAAACAACCGGTTAAAGAGCTTTATGTTACTCTTGCGTTCTTGCATGCGATACATGGTGTCACATGAGTGCGTGCCTAAATAAAGGTCATGCACAATTCATTTCCCGTCCAAGGTTGTAAAAGCAAGTCTTTGATTGAGGACTGCTTGAAAACCTACCATACAACCCATGATGAAATTTTCACAGTTGATTTGTAGGGGTGAATCATGTTTAGAGCCAAAAGTTTAAAAAAAATCTGTAAGACAGATTTTGAGCTAGTTTCGATTTCACATTTTCTTATTTGCAAAAAATCCGTCTTACAGATTTTTATTTTACTTGGCATGAATATTAAATCAGAACCAATTTGTTATTTCTAAAATTTTGAGGTGGGGTCATACAGGTAGATTTTGAGAGAAATGTCATTTAACCTACTAGTGCCTAGTCTCTCCTTAGGTACTTGGTCATTAATTTTATTTTGGCCATTTGTTGACATTTAATTGTTCAAGTTTCACATAGAATGGTAAAAGACTTCAGCAAACAGTAAATAGAGAAAGGAAAAACATTTTGGAACATTTTTCAAAAGAGTTAGAAGTTGGGCTGTGACTGCATTTGGTCTGTACTCATGACCTTGGTCGAGATTCTCCCATACAGACCTCCTGCTCAGTTAATAAGAGCTAATTCTAATGATGATCTTTACGATGTTTATGAAACAAGTTTTATGGAGTTCTTTTTCTTCTTTTAGGATGACCAAACAATTGCAAGGTTAATAAAAGCAGGTACTAAGTCATGTCAAATCATGCTTACAGTACGGTGTATGTTTATTTCAACAACCACATCATTACATACATTTGGAAAATTAATCAAAAATACTATTTGGAAAGAGTATATATTAATTTTGTGTGACTTAATTTCACTGCAAAGACATTAGCTTGTTTTTGGATGATAAAAATGCTGTTTTGGGTGCAGAAAAAAGGCCAGCTTTCATTTCTCAGAATGGCCAGGTTTTTGTGAAATAGACAAAAAAAGCACGAATAAATCTGGGAAAACCCAAGAATGATCACTTCCTTTGCAGGCGCTTTTTGGGCTTGTCACACAATGTTCCTCCCCCATGATTGTTCCTGATAAACATTTTATAGCACAGCTTAAAATTAACCTACAGATCTTTTAAAACACTCTAGGTAGCCTAAAACAGGGTTTGCATTTGTGAGAAAACCCTCATTAGCTGCCCCTGAATTTGAAGTCCATGTATGAGTCCTTATAACCACCAGAACGAGGCATCAGGTGATCATTTATGTTCCTACACTGTAAAAAAAAAATTCCTGATCACAGGTCATAGAACATTATAACCATAAAAGACCTCTGTTTCTTCCATTGATGGTAAGTTTTATTCAGTTGTAGGTGAACTTGAGGTGAAAGAAGTCCAATACTCCAAAACTATGAAGACACTACTTTTGTGTCTTGGGCCATTGTTGACAAGGTCAGTATGAAAATTCTAACTGCACAGTTAAATTTTATCTTATTGTACGGCTAGGTCCGTGAGCGGACAAGGTGAACCAAATCCCGCGCTGTTATTGGTTACTCGAGCAGGCAAGATGGCATTATCTTCCTTTCCTCTGGACTACCCGCTGTGTCCTGCAAGAAAAACCATGGAATAAATCCTTTATTGACCATCCTTGCTCAGTCAAAATGGCTGGATGTTGTCCTCATTCTTTTTTGTTGTTTGTTTATGGACATCAACTCCATCTCAATCCATCAATGCACAAAAATAGAATTTGGCTATAATATCCAGCCATCTTGACCTCACGCTTGGTCAATAACCAATACATGTATAATAATACAACTAACATTGTGTAGTTCCACAACATATCCATACATCCCCTAAGGAAGGGATTTTTTTTCTAAGACCTACCCACCCCTCTGGAAATTCTAGTTAAGCTTGATAAGTTTCTTTAAATGTTTTGTTCTTCCAGCCCCCCCCCCCCCCACCCCCCGCAGGAAATTCAAGTCCCTTCTGTAGGGGGAGTATGGATATTTTCTGGAACAGCACATTGAGGAGGATCCACCTTAACTACCACTACGTGGTTGCTAAGGAAAGCTTCCTTTTATTTCTAAATATAAGATGTTTAACCATGTTCATTGCAGCGAAGGCCCCTTCAATATCTTTGAGTGACAACCATCAATACCTTGAAGTCTAACATATTACAATGTTTGACCTAACATATCAAACACGAGTGACAGTGTTTCAGTTGGATATCCAAACACGGAGTAGAGAGTTGAAAATATGATGCACAGCAGAGTATTTTTGACGAGATTTGGATATCTCGATGAAACACTGTCTCGAGTGTTTGATATATCCTCTCAATTATCAAAACAAAAACTAAGGAGTAAACGGTGGAGTTAAGTCGTCAAAATCTATGCTTATTGAGACTGGGTATTCAAACCTCCTTCACAGTTGTGATTTTCTTTGTTTTAACTTGATGAATTATTAACGAGTTTGAGAAGTAAGAGGAAATGTCACTGACTGAAGAATATATCAATCTCACAGTTGAAATTCACATTAATGTGTAAGTTTTGTCACCTCAAAGATACAAAATTCCTGTTCACTGAGACGCAACAACCAAACTGTAACGACTCAGTATCTAAAATTCACTCAAACATGATCAGAAAATATCATGAATCATTTTTTTAACAGAGAGGATTTGGAAAACCTCTCTCCAGACTTCCAAGCCATGATGTGCGCTCACTCGTCTGGAGATGTCCGTGGTGTGATTGTAACTCTACAAGGGACTGAGTCAAATGGGTGTGTAGACAGCTGTGGTACAGTGTATGACTTTGTTTCCCGATATTTTGCTCCCTGGGTTGGTGTCTCAGAGGATCCTGTGACGGGTGAGTATATGGCCTCGTCTACACAATCCGAGGGTAAATAAAGTATACTACTACTACCACTACCACTGCCACTGCCACTGCCACTGCCACTGCCACTGCCACTGCCACTGCCACTGCCACTGCCACTGCCACTGCCACTGCCACTGCCACTGCCACTACCACTACCACTACACTACACCGGAGAAATTTGAAAACGGCGTTTTCACTCAGAAAACGCATCAAATGTTTTCCGTCCACACCGCACCCCGGGAAATTAGAAAGCGGCATTTTCACTCCATCAAATGTTTTCTGTCCACACTACGCCGGAGAAATTTGAAAACAGCGTTTTCACTCTGAAAACGCATCAAATGTTTTCCGTCCACACTGCACCCCGGGAAATTGGAAAACGGCGTTTTTACTTTATTAAATGTTTTCTGTCCACACTACACCGGAGAAATTTGAAAACAGCGTTTTTACTCTGAAAATGCATCAAATGTTTTCTGTCCACACTACTCGGAGAAATTTGAAAACGGCGTTTTCACTCTGAAAACTCATAAGATCTTTTCCGTCCACACTAATCAAGAGAAATTTGAAAACGCAACAATCATCGGTCATTTTGCATGTTTTGGATGTGTGTTTGAGTAAAACTCGGGCTGGAAAATCACATAATTATCGTGTTGTTCTCGTTTTCGAAAAGCTCCATTTTCAGAATGTTTTCCGTCCAAACGAAAAACGCAAAGCCGGCGTTTTCAAATTCTTCCTGTTCGAAGAGCGTTTTCAAAAAGCTCCGTTTTGGTGACGGATTAGTGTGGACGGTGGGCCTAACCGTAGAAATAAAGCTGCGTTTTGAAATTCTTCCGGCGTAGTGGAGACAGGGTCTAAGGAATAATATCAAAGGTTCCTTGAGCTGTGTCGTGTAACATAATTGTAATTGTATCAGCAGTTCTTCTCGGGTGGTCGTCCTGAAATTTGCTTCAGTTTACGTCCTAGAATTCATTGGTTTAATTTCTGTGCCACTCTAATTTTTTTGCTGCTTTTCAGCAAGGGAGACAGAATGCTTGAATGAACTTTAAATTTATGAAATGACTTGTCGAAAGCTGACATCTTGACTTAAGTTGCTTTGATAATTTTTTTCATCACTTTAAAATAGGTAGCACCACGTAGCCACAGATTAATCAAAATTCGCTTCTTTTGTATCACCATGTTGCATTTAGGTTCGGCGCACACGGTTCTCGCAAGCTTCTGGTCAGGAAGATTACAGAAGAACGACTTTTATGGTGAGTTTCTTAAAATACTCGCTTTGTATCAAGCGCTCTGTGAATTGAGATGTAATACATCAAATACGAGAGACCGTGCTTACCGCAATTTCGGACACTAACAGAGTTGAAACATGGCGTGCTGCTAAGGGTGTTTCACAAACCTCGTGCTGTTTAGAAAATGGAGAAAATCTATGCGAATTAAGATCAGATATTCAAACACTATCAGCTTCATGATTTTATTTTTATTTTTTCAAAATTGATGAGTTTGAGAAATGCCAAACTCATTAATAATTCATCAGGTTAAAACAAAGAAAATCACAACCGTGAAGAAGGTTTAGATAGCCGGTCTTAATTAGCATGGATGTTGACGATTTTACTTCTCCGTTTACTCCCTAGTTTTTGTTTCGATTGAGAAGATATATCACTCGAGACTGTGTTTCATTGGCTATGCAAACACCTCGAATTTCGTCAAAAATATTCCGCTGTGCGTCGTATTTTCAACTCTCTTCTCGGCGTTTGAATATCCTGATGAAACACTGTCTCTCGTGTTTGATATATTACTTGAAGAAGTTTTATTTTTGTCATAAACGGCCCTCGTAGAAACAACACAAGTCAAACCTGGGCATTTTTAAAAACGTTCCTTGCTATCATGACAGCATTTGTAACATTTTTACATTCTTACATCACGAGATGATGAAAGATACGAGAGTAAATTACCCTTATATGGGCTTCAGAGCGGAAAAACGTAATAAGCATGCGCGAGTTTTGACTGTGCGCCAGGCCCGAAACTTGAAAAAATGGCTGGAATTTCGTGGATCGTGTAAACAAAAAAGGTTACGAACTTTGTATGTTTTCCCAATATTCCTGGTAAGCAGCAACATTTTAACGTCACTAATGGAAAGTTGGTGTATTGTTTTCGTAGAGAATCAATTTTTTGGGGACAAAATTAACCTAAAGACGGTTTCTGAACCCTTTATTTTCTCTCGGTATGCGAGAAATTTCGATGCGAAGACACATTTTATTCACAAACGCTCTTTACATATTGCATTCATATAAGCAACCCACTGAATATATAAGTAAGAGAGTCTCTTAACAGGCGGGGGGAGACTTGTTTTCTTAGCAGTGAAATGCCGAAAAAATTCATGCTTGCCCAAGTGTAAATAAATCAACCGAGCGACAGTCCGCCGCTCTTTCCAGCCTTTGTAAACCATTGCAGCTTACATCAGTATTAAGCCCGCAGAAAGCTACGCAGTACGTTTTTCCGCTCTTAACATATGGACCATTATTTTCAAGTAATTTTTTGATCACTTGTCGGTAGTGAGAGTCTGATAACCAATCATGTGACGCAAATTTTGCTCGCGTCAGCAGCCCAAGCGGTCGGCCAAACTTACAGTGAAAATGTATGGAAAAGAAATCTTGTAAAACGAAATTTCCGTTAAAGAGAACACAGTTCAGAAGCCGAAAACGTACCACATAATGACGAAGAGATGTCATTACATGAGTGATATTGTATGCGGAACAATCAACACAGTGGTATGGGCTAATGGTTGTTTTGGCTAACTTATACATTTTCGTTGAATAAATTTTATCAAACCTTTCTCCGCAGCTCGACAGTGCTCGTCTCGCGGCGGAGAACTCCAAATTCACGTGAGACAAGACCACAGAGTTGAAGTCGCTGGAAAAGCTGTTTTAGTTCTACAAGGGAGTTTATACTTGTAACAACTGGCGGTGTACTCGCGTCACGCAACACACTTCTAGTTAATGGCGTTCCGTGACGGCTGGCAAGAAGGCTATCTATGCGTGACGTGCCTAAAGAAAGTCTGCGAAGGAGACTGGAGTCCAGCAGAGCATAGCAATATTTTAATTGTTATTGTTATTGTTTTGGTTTACAATGCAAGATTGGACGGTCACAGAAACATCTGTTGTCTTGGCGAGTTTGGTTTGTTGTGGAAACTAATCCAATTCTGATTGTTAAACTTAAGTTGTACTGTAGTTTACAAGATTAAATACAATATATAAATTATAAAAAATACACACTGTAGCTGGCCACTCAAAATAACTATAAAACTAAACCAGTTATGTGACAACCATTTATTACTTGAAAATATAAACACGAGTCAGAAGATAGGCTTAACTAAATATCTAAATGTAATGTAGGTTAAGTCTGCATACGAGCCAAGTGGCCCATCAGGCTGGCGCTTATCCTGGTTTCAGTAGCATGAAGCGACTAGGAGTATTTCTACTCCCCACTGGATGGGATGCTACTGAGTCCATCGCAGGGTTACCCCTAGCAATAAGTGCGCCGATACCCATTTGTACACCTGGGTGGACCTGAGAGAGGCACCGTGAGAGTAAAGGGTACTCACTAAAATAAGTTAGTAGAGTTCTACTAGTATACTAATGCAAATGCTGTAATCTGATTGTTAATTAGAAGATAATAAATAGATAACAGTAGCTCTTGTGCTTCATAGTCCAAAACGTATAAAAACGCCTTCTGCTGAATTTCATGTAATTATTCGTGACAACCTTTCAGACTTTCAAATCCAAGATGGAGGACGCCTGGTTCATTCCTCAAGACGTTCAATTTCGATACAGTAAACGAAATATTTGATAAGCAGTGCAATAACTTAGCATGTGCGTTGAATATCTTGCAGTTGGTACATTCCCCGGGGGGGACTTCCATATCAAAAGGACGGGGGTACTCGTCGTACCTGTTAGGGTTTAAAACGCGGTTTGGTAGCTCTTAGGGTTTGCAGCCTCAAAAGGTCCACATCCGGAGCTTTTACGGCACCATTTACGGTATTGAGCCGAAAATATATGACAAAAGATAATGTGTTGTTTAGGATTGGTACTTCTTAAGGGTGAAAAAAATATCAAGCCGACCACAAAACAGGCTTCTTTTCACAATATGCGACGGGCACCCCCGTCCTTTTCACATGGGAGTCCCTCCCCCCCTCCCCCCGGTACATTCGTAAGTCATCCTCTGTAAAATTGTGCGGAACAGAATCTACGTTTGTATGTTAATGTAACAAACGTGTTTAGCAGCTCGAAAAAAGGAGAGGAAATGTTGGTTCATAATTTGTCAGTGTTGCTGTGGTGTTCTAGACCGTCCTGAGTTTTCGGAAAATCCGAAAATTATCGAATTTCCAAAATGTGAACCATTCAAACGAAAATTCTGGAAATTCCTTGAGGAAATTGAATCAGTGGAACAAAAATTCCCTGTAAGAAACTTTCGAAAATTTTGATTTACCTTGTGAGGTTGTCCTCTTTTCCTCTAATGCGGGTTGTCGGAGAAGGAAATTTCCTAAAATTCAAACCGGAACTTTTGGTGTAATGGAAAGCGCCCTTATTTTACTGTTTTCCATGCTTTATGTCATGTCCATTACTTCCAAAATAATTCGGACGATTTTAATTTCGAAAATAACATCGTCCGAAATTTTTTTTAACGTCCGAACTATTTACTGTACAGTACATTATAAAACTTTTAAATAGCGCTAAAGCCGCTAGTTTCCTATATGGAGCGAACTCTAGTTGAGACACTGCTTGACAAAGAAACGGCTGAGAGAATTTTTCTTATTTTCCCGTCGGTGATTCTGTAAAACCTTGAGAATGCGGTAAAACGATAATTTTCACAGACATTGTTTCAATCTAAAACGTGTTTTGTAGGGGTAAACGAACTTAAGTTATGTTTCAGCAAAGTGTTCGGAGTTTTTGTCCGAAATTCGTCCTCAGAACCCGTACTTCTTTTAGTTTGCGTCCAGGACGTGGACCCTGGCTAACTCCGTTTTCATTGTGAGCTAATCACTTTTGAGGTGAAACGACCGTAAGTGCAGGAATCGCGGACTTCGGGTCAAATCAGACGTGAAAAGTGCCCCTGTTTTTGTTGCTTAGAAAAAGAAAGGCGGGTTTTAGACTTCCAAACGCGCATAAAGGGTGCTGTGACGGGCCATTCCTTGTGCCCCTTGTGATGTTACTACTTTTCACAATAGGGCATGTTTTGTAGTGTCTAAAGATCTTTGAAAACGTGTTCTTGTTCTTAATTTATTTTTGCCATTTATAAATATATTTACAACAGATCAGTGTATATAAGGCAATGAAGCCCAGAACAGCCAGTAAGGCTTATGTGAAGTCTACCGTAATCGGCACACAGCGCGGAAACTTTTCTACCGAGCACAAACGCGAATAAAAGGTAAACAAAGCTAATAATGAGCGAAAAAAGCGGGACTTTTTAGCTTTCGCGTAAGTTTCTTTAATACTCGAAATTTGCAAAATATATATACCCCAAAGGTTACGGAAGTTTGCTCACGTCACTGGTTGAAAGAGTGATTGTCTTTATTGAAAAGTTGTGTCAACTTGTCACAAAGTTCTTTGTTTTGTTTGCGGAGATTAAAATTTCATTATAGCTGACATTTGTCACGCATCATGATACATAAGAGCGTCGGGTTTGTCCTGAAAGTTCCATACTTTGTTTTGTCATCTTTCGTTTTGGTAATAAGAAATGTTCAGTTAACAATCGAAAAACTCAACGGTTTTTCTGTGGAGAAAGTTGTCAAGTACTTGCCCTTTGAAGAGAATTTCATGAAGTTGTATTCCAACCCCGATGGCAAAACAACGTACGAAGGTGAAATTTGCCGACGAGACACCAAATACCGAAGATTTAGTTTGCCCCGGCTGTCAAAAACGCTTTGTTTCACCTTTACTTTTACCATGTCTTCACACCTTGTGTAAAAAGTGTATTGACGCCGAAAGGACTTCACAGAAAAATGGAAAGCTTTCACGTTGTCCAGTGTGCTCAAGAGTTTTAGATATGCGTTGTGAATTCCCTCTGAACTTTGTGGCAAATAATATGGTGAACAAGGCCGCTGTACAGGATAATACGCCTGTAGATTTCGTTTGCGATACTTGTGAAGCATTAGAGGAGAAAGTTACGATGCGATGTAGCAATTGCCACCTGTTTTTGTGTGAATTTTGTTCCACAGCGCATCGTAGAATGAGCGCCACCAAAACACATACCTTACAGACGGTCGATCAGTTCAGGGGACAGCTTTTCAAGGGGAATAATTTTCAGAGATCGTCGTTTTGTTCCATTCACTTATCCGAACGGTTGTGTTATCTTTGTCAGACTTGCGAGCAAATGATTTGTCGCCATTGCTCGCTCTCTTCTCACGAGGAACACGAATGTCGTACTATTGCGGAGGTCACTAAAACATTGAAGGTTAACATGGTGAATCTTGCAGAGCAGATTAAGGGAAAACAAAAACACGTCAGCGAGCAGGCAACCGTCATTAAAGAAGACATTTTAAAGGTAGAAAATCAACAGAAGGCGGTTCGTCGCACTATTGAAGAATATTTTCAGAAGTTGATTGAGGCACTCAAGAATCGCATGAGTGAACTTGTAAATGAGATTGAGTCACATTGTACCGCAAAGCTTGAAGCTTTGTTTTCAAAACAAAACGTATTACAACAGACTGTTCAACACGCAAGCGACTGTTGTCTGCTGGCAGAACGCACTGTGAAGCAAGGAAGTGACGTGGAAATACTCAGCGTTGGAAAAACCGTTATTCAGCGTCTCACCTCGCTTGTGGAAGAAATAGAGCAAAATTCGGCAAGTCTTCGGCTGGAGAAAGAGGTACACAGCTCTGTTGAATTCCTTGCAGAGAGCGATAAAATTCTGAACGATATAAGTCATTTAGGTCATGTTAAAGTACAGTCTTCAAGCACGCCATGCGAGCCTACATTATGCATTTTGTCTCCAGCGAAAGAGCCTCAGCACGTGGTCACGGGAGAAGTTAATCGAATGTCTTTGACAGCTGTCAATCAACAAGGAAAAAGACAGCAACGAGGGGGAGAGAAAGTGAAGCTCTCTTTCTCATTGGTCAGCTCACGAGTGACGCCCGAAAACGCCGGGTTTAAGTATGGTTGTCAAGACAACCAGGATGGAACGTACTCCTTGGCTTACGTCATTAGTAAGCCGGACACCTACTGGCTGCATGTGAGTATAAATGGCAGTCCTGTGGCGGACAGTCCTGTTACAGTCACAGTACGACCAAGAGATTGGATTGGCAGTCAGCTAATTCTACGAAGCGAAGATTGCGGCGGTTTTTCGCATCCGTACAGTGTTATAGCGGACTCACACGATCATTTGTTGGTGGCTGATTCCCATAATCACAGAATTAAAATACTTTCTTTAAAAGGAGAAGTGCTCAAGTCGTTTGGTTCTCAGGGAATAGTGGAAGGACAGTTCAACTTTCCTTACTGCTTAGCGCTTAACCGACGGGGAAATCTAATCGTCGTTTCTGACAGTCAAAACCATCGTGTGCAGATCATCACACCTTCGGGGAGACTCATGAAGAGCTTCGGAGGCTTCGGAGATGAGGTCGGCAGGTTAAAACACCCACTCGGTGTCGCTGTCGACTCGGATGACGTCATCTACGTTGCTGATTCTGGGAACAGCAGGATTCAGATCTTCTCACGCGAGGGGATCCCCAGGGGGATGATTGTGTCCAAGGAAATGGCATGTCCCTGGGGGATAACCATAAGCAAGGTTGGTCATATTGTGGTGACTGACTATAATAACCACAGGGTGTGTGTTTTTAACAAGGACGGTTCTTCGGCCCTTCAGTTTGGATCCCGTGGGGATGCCGATGGATTACTGAACAATCCCGCGGGGATCACCGTGGACGACCAGGGGCAATACGTGGTCGCCGACCGGAGTAACCACAGGGTGCAGATTTTCCAGGCGAACGGAATTTTTGCCACCAAGTTTGGTGGAAAAGGACAGGGGGACGGATTAATGCTTTTCCCCGCGGGGGTAGCGGTGGACAAGAAAGGTCATCTGTATGTTGCAGACACGTTCAACGATCGCATTCAGGTTTTTTCATTAGCGTCAGTTTAGAGGGAAATCTCTAGACTACTAGTAGTTAATCTTCCTCTTAGTCCGTCGTACGTGACGCGAAAGAAAACTGCGAGGAAGAAAACGGCAGTTCGAAATCCTGGGCGGTGGGGAAGGGGCGAGTAGGGCGCGAATGGAGGGACTACGAACTTTCGCGCCTTTCTCGCACGGTTTGGATCGACCGACTAAACAAAAGAGGGACTATTCGTAGTCCTGGAAATCTCGTGTAAAAGCATTTTCCTACAAACATGCGATTGCCTAGACAACAGAACTATTATATATGACTTATTCCGCGAGGTAGAGAGTAGTTATAAACACACTGAAAATCCAGTAATCCAGCTTGTATAGTCTGTCTTTCCCGCGCCCTTTTGGTACGTACGAACAATATTACTGCAAGAACGAGGTTTGGGTGGCGATTTCATTCATTTCTTGTATCATCTTGGCCATCCTGGCCTCGAATGGCCTGGGCGCCACTGTTCAGTAAACAGGCTTCTGATACATTGGTCGTTCCCAGTTCTCTGTCATGCGTTACCTTCAGCTTGTTTCAATAAGTTATTATGACGTTTGACTATGGGGTTTTCGAGTTCTGTAATGATGGTCGAATTCCGGCGTAGTTTTGCATTAAAAGAGCTAGCACGTTGATACCCTCAAAAAGGCAACTTTGTTCCTAGGGCTTTGTCACTCCCAATTTCAAATTATACTGGGAGTGCTGCGCTAGTGCGAGTAAAACCGCAAAGTCATATGCTAGTTTTTGCTGCATTTTGCCCGGTCCTTATGCCCCCTTCAGTCTCGAAATCTCATCTCCCTGACAGAACGCATCTTGGATGTCAGAACACAGCCATCAGTGACCAACAGTTATTTTTTATTTTGAACCACTCCAAAGAGAAACAAGTGCTTCTTCCCGAAACTGTTAGAAAGAATTGATATTCCACAAGATGCCTCGTGCCCGGGCGTCTCTCCTCAAGCCTCGGTCAAACTATTCCAGCATCTCAACGCAACATATCGCAACATGGTTGGCCAAGTATTTGCAAGCCGCGGCCAAACGATAGCTACATTTCGACGCAGCATATCGCAACATTGTTGGGCGCAACATGTTGCTTGCGTTTGACCACATGTTGTGTGTTGCAAATCGTACTACTGCGCATGCTCTGGAGCAACATTGTTGCAGGGCCTGTTGCACGAACCTGGCCAAACGGGTAGAACATCATGCAACATCCACAAATGTTGCGAGAAAAATTTGACCATTTTCAAACATGTCGCAACAGGGTGGCCAAACGCGCGCAACATGTTGCGCCCAACAATGTTGCAATATGCTGTGTTGGAATGTTGCGATCGCTTGGCCGCAAATAGTGCAATAGGCCATTTCCGAGTTTTTCTTTGCCTCCGTGTCAAAGCGTGTCTTCGTGCGAAACAATTTTTATGAAAATGCGTTTACTCTGTAAGTTCATTTTCATACAAATCAAACTCATTTTCATATGAAAAGTTTTCCACGAAGACTCGTTTTGAAACCAACAGGCCAACAGGCGACTCGGAATTGGCCTGTTTTCGAATTTTTCCCATTTCATCAGTTGCTTTTACAAGCTTGCGCAAGGCTCAGTGTAGTCAGAGGAGATAAGTAAAACAAGAAAGCGAATTCATAACAAAATGCGCGTGGTTTGAGCAATGAGAGAGAAAGAGAGAGAGAAAGAAACGATTTTTTTTCCAGTTCTCACGTATGTTTAAGCTGGCACGGGACGCAAATTACAAATTTGCACTTTAATTGTAGTCAATCTAGTCATGGCTCGTGGCGGAATCAAACATGCGGCAGACATGAACATAGTGGTTCAAAATCGCACAAAACCAAAACGTATATCGCTGCTTTTTCAGAGTATTGTCAGAAAATCTGAAATACATTTTACCAGTAACTGTTGTGGAAAATGCGTAAGTCGAGGCTGGGCCCCGCGGCCCGGAACTGTGTGTTTATAAGTGGCTTTGAACGCATTTGTTGGTCTTATTCTGATAAAACTTTATGTCTTTTGTAGCTAAAGTGCATTGAAGAGAAAGTTTGTATGAAGCGCAATCCAGTGAAGTGAAATTCATAGGTGAAGGCGACCTTGATCATCCCGGAGAAAGTGAACGATTTTGTATGTATAAAAACGTTGGGTGAGGCTCCCGCATGGAAGCGAGGCTAGGATGCGCAGCCGCGACGGACGCAGCTTGCTGCATTTGTTGTTTATGTGTCGGTTCAGTGAAGGTCGTAGCTGAGAGAAGCGAAGGAGACAGTAGAAATCTGGTTCCATCTTGGTGTGAAAGCTAACAGCTACTGGCCATTACTCGCCATCATACATTTTAGGGTATAAGGAAGATGGCGAGCCAAGATGGGAAGCTACCAACCTCGGATAGAATGCTCAAAAGTTAGCTTCTAAAAAATCGCTAATCTTGCCAACCGTTGCCTTGAAAGCCGCCATTTTGCATAGTATAGCCTTGTAACTGTTTTTAATTTCTTCTGCTTCTCCAATCTAGCTGTACCTATGCCACCTATTGAACGACTTACGCTTAAAGATGTGTTCGATTCGAATGGAAAACCTAAAGCAGAAGTATTAAAGAATCATTTCTTAAAAGAGGGTAGAGTGGAGGAAGATGTAGCTCTTCAAATTATAAACTCGGGAACGGAGCTTTTAAGACAGGAACCCACAATGCTGGAGGTGGAAGCACCCATAACAGGTACATGAACTGGTTATTTGAACTGATCAGGTGTTAGTCTGAAAATCTATGGCAGGTCGCTAAAGTTCGAGAATATACCAACGCTATGTTCTGTATTTTTCCCATCTGCAGTGTGTGGTGACATTCACGGCCAGTTTTACGATTTAATCAAATTATTCGAAGTTGGAGGGCCTCCAAGCTCTACAAGATATCTATTTCTTGGAGATTACGTAGACAGAGGGTATTTTTCAATCGAGGTAAGCGTATTAGATGCATAAATCTGTTTAAAAATTGCACTCGCTTGTTGCACCTTGCGTGTGTGTACGAAAGCTTGTTATTCGTTGTAAACATGTTCCGATCCAAGATACCTTCAAAAATGTTCACTTCTAGCGTCCCTCTGAGGAAGCTGTATCTGTTCAATGGCCACACATTACAAATCAGCATTTAATGTCAATTTTGCCATGTTTCTCTTGCAGTGTGTTTTATATTTATGGGCGTTGAAACTCCTTCATCCCAGCACACTTTTCATGTTGAGGGGAAATCACGAGTGTCGACACTTAACGGAGTATTTTACCTTCAAGACAGAATGTAAGTGCCTTTGTTCCACATTTAAACGAACTCATTTTTCCTTAATATTATGAGCTTGATTCTACGCCGGCCTACTGGCTTCCAAGCTTCCGATCGATCAGAAAGGACGACGCCTCGAAAACCCGCGTAAAAACAAATTGTTTTGTCGAACAGTCGATCATCGCGCATCGTCATCCTACGCGTAAAGCTTCTTTTGTGGAAATTTCTAGTAGTATTTGTTTGATAGTGGACTGCCTTTCCCTAGTTCGTTTTTTGATATTTGTTCTTAAATAGTCAGCTTGCTAAAGAACTTTGAACCTTATTTTCACTTTAAATAGACCCGTTGCGTTTTCATGAATAAATTATATTGTTGCGCTTTTAAAATTTACATCTTCATTGTCGAATACCATGAAAAAGTGCGAAGTTAAATTTAAACGATCTTACTTCCGCCTAAACTTGCCACAAGTTTAGAAAAATGCGTTTTTCTTTTGACCTCAAAGTTTCGTTGTTGTAATTTGTTGTCACGAAATACTCCATGTTGTTGAGTGTAGTAAAATTTTAAACAAAACGTTGATTGATTTTGAGAATTATTGTTCATCTTGTACTTGTCGGCAGATAAAGGACTTTCCTAAAGATATCTCTGACTTTCTCGGAATTTTCAGGCTAGAAGTTTTCTTTTCTTTTAGGGATTATTCTTCAGCATTCCTAGTTTTAAATTTTGGTCAACAGGTGTTTATTGAAATGTGATCTGTTTTCTGCACAAGTAGTAGTTTGCGACAGGTTGAAATTATGCATTTGACAGCAATTTATTAGCGTTTGGCGGGTGAAATGATCCAGAATTCCCTTACTCGATTTTCTGTTACTTATGGGAAAAATTTGTGATGGACTGGCATCCCATCCATTGGGGAGTAGAAATACTCCTAGTCGCTTCATGCTATTGAAACCGGGATAAGTTCACCCTGATGGGCCACTTGGCTTGTATGCAGACTTTATGGGAACAATTTACCCTTGTGGGTGCAAAAGGAATTAAGAACTTCCAAATATAAGAGGTTTTAAATCTAAGGTCAAATTAAAGTATGAGACCAAGAAATACATCTGTACCAAAAATAATAATTAGATATATTAAGAAGAATTGGGCCACATAAATAATAGAAGTAGTTGAATGACTTAGAATATGTCAGGTTCAAAAACTTGTGACTTCGCTTTATGAGTGTGTGTGTGAGTGAGTGCATTAGCTGTGTTAGTTTGTAAACTGAAGTAATGAAAGTACTGTTAATTATGTAAGGTAGAGTGTTGTATAGTAAAGTATTGATAAGTAATCTCCGCTGAAAGTAATGTAAGTAGCTGTGTGTATTGCAAATAAAAGAGAATGTTGAATATTCAAGCCAGTTTTAGTAATTAGAGTAAAACTGATGAAGCTACTTAGTAGGGTCCATTGTACATTGAGTTTGTAGCTGACAAGTTTATATCCTGTTTCAGGTAAAATCAAATACACAGAAAACGTGTATGATGCTTGCATGAAGTCATTCGATGCTCTTCCTCTCGCCGCGCTGATGAACAGACAATTCCTGTGTGTACATGGTGGATTATCCCCAGAGATTTACACTCTAGATGATATTAGAAAGGTAACAGCAGTTTGTTCTGAAAACAATGATAGTTTTTGTCAGTAATGGTCCTGTTTGGCTAGAAGGTGTTCATAAGGAGTAAACAACTTTTAGTTTTATTCCAGATATCAACTAACTTGCACAACATTTATTTTGTAGTATTTCTGTTAGCTTAATGTGGTAGCTATTGTGTAAAATTAATCACCAAAATATCAATCATGGACAAATTGTAATGTTTTAATTAAGAGTATAACTCACTTTACAAGGTACATTGTTTAGTCTTGGTAATCTCATTTCTGTTCTGCACTCTCTACACTGAACCATGTTCCAGAATTCCTCACCCAAAACTGAACCAAGGTTAAATACGAACTGTCTATATTGTAGCTGTTTTGTTGAACGATCTGACTATACTGTGTAACAAAATGACAAGGAATTATCTGACTATCAAAAGGTATGACTGGATTTCAAATATTATGTAGACTGAAATCAGTTGTTAACTACATAAAGATGTAACAGTTTCAGGGCTCAAAAAAAAAAGTGCCGTCCAGTTATTCTGGAGAAGTAGATTTTCCTTTGCCAAGGGCAAGCTGGAATTCCTCTCTTTGCTGCAGTACTTAATTCACCAAGTTATTTCAGCTGACTTGGAATGATCTGACCAGGGAACAATCTGACTGCATTTCTAATATTTAATAGCATTTCAGTCGCCAGCTAATTGTAATAGCTATCTATGTGCTTTTTAGATTGATCGATTCACAGAACCGCCTGCATTTGGTCCCATGTGTGACTTGCTTTGGTCTGATCCACTGGAAGATTATGGCAATGAGAAAAATGCTGAGCACTTCAGTCACAACACCGTCAGAGGCTGTTCTTATTTCTACAGGTGACATGTGCTAAGCATTTCAGTTTTTTATTGTGTTGCAACTGGTAATGCAGGAGCATGTTATCCCATAGCGCCTAGTAGTTCATGTCGTGGAACACCAGAAAGAAAGCTAACTTAAACTCTAATCATGATTCTTACACTAAGGTTAAGGTTAATCTGCATACAAGCCAAGTGGCCCATCAGGCTGGAGCTTATCCCGGTTTCTGTGGCATGAAGCGACTAGGAGTATTTCTACTCCCCCCTAGATGGGATGCTAGTCCAGCGCAGAGTTACCCCACAGCATTAAATTCGCGGTACCCATTTATACACCTGGGTGGAGAGAGGCTCATGGAGAGTGAGGTGTCTTGCCCAAGGATACAACACAATGTCCCTGGCCAAGACTCGAACCTGGACTGCTTGATCCGCAGTCAAGCACACTAACCATGAGGTCACCATGCCTTCACGCTTATGCAAAGCTAAACTTGTTTTTGTTGTTCAGGAGCGTCCTGTCATGTTCCCTTTTCCATGTTTTCTCCAGGTTTTTTTTAAATATGATTCCACTTGGTGTTGAAAGGTATTTAAGATATGCCTGTTTATGCTCTATCTACAGTTATCAAGCAACATGTGACTTCCTACAAAAGAACGCCCTGCTTTCAATAATCAGGGCACACGAGGCACAAGATGCTGGGTGAGCAGTGAAGATGATTGTATTATTGTGCCATTTTTAGTGCAGAGTGCACTATTGGGATGGTTATGGGGGTTGCCTGCCGCTAAGGAACTAAGGCGCTATGTCGCTATGGCCCTATGGCGCTAAGGTGTAAACTTTAATGTTTGTTTAATTAATTAATTTCAATTAATTAATTAGTCTAAAGGCAAGGGATGTGTACTCTACGTAAAACACATTCCATCGCCGTCGCTTAACTTTGAACATCGCAAAGCTATATATTTGTTTCAGGTAACCCCTTGCTCTCCTTGTTAGGAATAGCACAACCCAGAGGCTAAGAGCACATAACAACAGGGCAACTTTGCTACTGGCCTCTTGTGATTCTGTATTCCTTTACATGGCACCATCAGTACATTTTATACCAGAAAGAGTCATACTGGCACAAGTTCACCCTGTGCTGGAATTCTGATACAAAATCCTATGAAAATGAAGGACTACCACTTTTTTCATTATGACATCAGTCTTGTTGGAGACTTGAACCGTTCATGTTAACCTCTTTGGACAAGCGATGAAGAGGAGGTGTCCCTTCATGTAAACATGATACAAAATCAAGTCGTCATTCTGAATGGAACTCGCAAAGTTTTTCCTATGTAAACACCCCCTAACCAGTTCTAAGATGGATTCCCTGATGCGCAGATCAATGGAATCCATTGTTGGAATGTTTGTCAAGGCAACATGTTGTATGTGCACACAATTTTGTGTTTTTCTTATCTGATCTAGGTCCTATTCAGCATATTTTAAAAATTCTGTCTTTTAGATACCGAATGTACCGAAAAAGTCAAGAAACTGGATTCCCCTCTCTCATCACAATCTTTTCAGCACCTAACTATTTGGATGTCTACAATAACAAAGGTTTGGAAAAACATTGATCTGTTAGAAATTTGAAGGACTTATGCAAGGACATGCTTTCTAATGACCTTGTATGTTTTCTTAATCTTGACATCTTTAGCTGCTGTGCTGAAGTATGAAAACAACGTGATGAATATTCGCCAGTTCAACTATTCTCCTCATCCTTACTGGCTTCCGAACTTCATGGACGTTTTTACATGGTCGTTACCCTTTGTTGGAGAGAAAGGTAAGCCTTGCTTGTTTAAAGGTGAATTAACAATTGCACTACGACCACTTGAACCAGGCCACTTGGTAGAAATCTGACCAGCTTGAAGGAGTTTCATTAACGTTTTGAGCAGGAGGGCAGGTAAAATTAAAAACTCAACTTCTTTATCAGAAAAACGTTTCTCTAGGTGGTCAAACCAGGCACAAAGAATCATTCTTGCAGCCAGTCAATAAGCCTGTTGCCCAGCCCTTAATTTAATGAAACCCCTGGTTGAAGAACGCATATAAAATCTACAGCTGAATCTGAAACCAAGTAAAGGCAAATAAATGTTTTATTTGATTTTGTATTCTAAGGACAACTCTTCTATCCTGTCCATATTCTATAGACATTGTCCTTTGTACTTTATTGTTTCAATAAAGTAGTAACGTAAGGTGAAAATGTAACGTAAGAAGCTTTTTCTTGTGACATCCACATGAAACCATTTAAAATGCTCAAACTTTTGGATCAAAAATAACGAATCAGAAAGTTGTAGTTTTCTGAAAGGTGTGAAAATTTGATTTAGATATAATCATTGTCCATGTGATGCTTGAACATCACTGTCCTGCTTGTATAAAAAGAGGTTGTCAGCCTTTGTTCTCAACATTAGTAGATATTCTTCTAAGTGGCCCAATTCAAGAAATCGACAGTACAGAGACATCACCTGTTTGTTTCTCCCGTTCATGACTTATTCTTTACTTTCTTGCTGTTAGTCACTGAAATGCTGGTGAATATTCTCAATATTTGCACGGACGAGGAACTTGAAGGGGACGAAGATGAAGAACAAAGTGAAGCGATTAAGAGGAAAGAGGTTATTCGCAGCAAAATACGAGCCATTGGCAAAATGGCACGAGTGTTCACTGTGCTGAGGTGAGACATCTGGTTGTAACTGTAACATCTATTACGGCTAAATTGCTTGATGGTGTCTTGATGTTACTGGTGAACTTGCCTGTTGTTGGTGATAGTTCACCCACAAACCAACAAGTTCATTTTGGGTGGGATGATCAAAGCAGGAGGTGACTCAAAACTTATGAAAGCCCTTGGATTCAACAAAATTTTATGTACGCTATGGAAGCAAACTAAAGTAAAAAGTTAAAATGTGTGCCGATAAGTGTCAAATTTCCGACAAGGGGAGAAATTTAGGGCAAGAAAACAACAGGGCTTTTCCTTAGAATTTAATTTAGTCTTTGCTGAATGCCAACATTCCTACATGTCTGAGTAACAGTTGTGCATGACGGTTTTCTGTATTACCATTTTGACTTGTGTTAAACTTGAGTGGCCACCCCAAGAAACAAAAACAGTATCATCAGTACTGTGGATTGAAACCAAAGGTTTATTTTAACCCTTGTCAATGCACATCTTAGATTGAAAGTATTGTCAGCTTAGGTGTATTTGTGCTGAACTGTTGCACTGATCAAACAACTTGCTATTTTTAGAGAGGAGAGTGAGAGTGTGGTGCAACTCAAAGGTCTTACCCCGTCAGGACATTTGCCAGTGGGTCTCCTCTCTGGCGGCAAACAAGGGATTGAAAGTGGTAAGAATTTTATTTATTTTATCTGGAGGAAATCCTAGCAAAGCAAAGCTAATTTACATTTTGATATAAAAAGAAACAATTGATTTTCCTTTTCTTTATACATGTAACTAAGGCCCCGTCCACACTATGGTGGAGGAATGTGAAAACGGAGGTTTCATTCTACAAATGCATCAAATGGTTTCCACACTATGCTGAAGGAATTTAAAAACTCAATAGTCACCAGTCATTTTTGGATTTGTGTTTTTAAACAAAAGTTGGTCAGGGAAATTGGTCACTTTCGATATATTAAAATTCAGTTTGATAGTGAGGCCTGGAGGACACAAACAAAAGAAATGAATAAACATGGTCATTCAATTTCCTTTGTTTGTGTCCTCTAAGCCTCGCCGCTAAGCTGAATTTTAATATATTGAAAACAGTCCATTGCACGATTATCATGAGGTCATCATTTTCAAAAAGTTCAGTTTTAAAATTTTTTTTGAATTTTTTAGCCAGATTTGAAGAGCATTTTTGAAATGCTTTTTTTTCATGATGGATTAGTATGGACAGTAGGCCTGACCGTAGAAATAAAGCTGCGTTTTCCAATTCCTCCAATGTAGTGTGGCCGGGGCTTAAATATGAATATTAGTCATGTTTCTGCTCTGTTGAATTGAAGAGACTTGCCTCATTTTGTAATCTGTGGTAAAGGGACTTAGTTCTTTCCCAACAAGGTCATTGATATAGCCATGGAAACAGGCTTTACAGTATTGCCTCAGTCTTTTCTGATGTTTCTTTTACTAGCCCTGCAGGGTCAGGTTTTCAGCCCAAACTTCAAGATCAGTGGTTTTGCCGAGGCCAAAGGACTCGACCAGGTCAATGAAAGAATGCCACCCAGAAAGGATTTACCGGTGCAACCCGGGACCAAGTGAGAGCACGGACAAACAGGAAGCTATTCATTGACTATTAGTATTGTAGTATAGTGTTATAAACCTTGTGAATACCTGTAAAAAAATAGCATCATCTGCCTCTAAAAGTCTCTCATTATCTTTCTCTTGGATGTAATATTTAAGATTTTGTGTTGCGCTGACAACCAGGTTGGCATGATTTCTTCTGCTCCACACTGTGCTGTCAAGTGAATATGCTTTGAGGCATGTGGCGTTGATAAGGATGATGTTCTTTCAAGTGGATATCCTGTGACTTGGGATGTTTCAGTGGGTATCCTGTGATGCAGGATGTGCTGCCAGTTATTCAGGAGGTAGTCGATTGGTTCTTGTGAAACAGGGTGTGTCAGTGGTTTTCCTGTGGCCCACAGGTAGCCGAAGGTTTTGCACCCAAGCGAGTTCACATCCACTGAGTTTGCACCCACAGATTAGCACTCATGTTTATTCAACTAGCAATCAAGTGCTAAAATTTTATCTTTCTCTTACCAAGCAAAAAAGACAACTTTGTTAGCATAATGAAACAAGATCACAAAAACATGTTTATTTCTTGTTCTTTAATACATTAAAGGTGAAGGCAAACTGGAAATAGAAAGTTTATGATAAGTTCAGGGATGCAAACTTAGTGGCTGTGAACCTGATTGGGTGCAAAACAGGTAACATATTCTACCAAAAATGTGAAATTTTGAGGTTTTACTGATCCAGAATTTATCACCCCTTGCTCACAACAATAATTTACCAGTATATAATATACAGTGTAGATACATATCTATTGTAGTTAGGATGTGGAGGTGATTTTTGTCAGAATTTTTTTTTTTTTTTTTGCAAAAGCAAAGGTTTCATTAAGGGCCTGGCACCAGGCAAATTGACCAGCTGTAAGAATGATTTTACCTGCTTGGTTTGATGGTCTAGAGGAAAATTTTTCTTATTATGAATTTCTGTTCAAAATGTTTTGCCTGCCTATGAAAACCAGTTGCCTTCTTGTTGAAACTGTTAGTGAAACCCCTGGCAAAAGGCCTGTCACTGCTGGCTCTTAACCTTATGAGCCCTGAGCTCTAAATATAGATTGTTCTGATGATTTCCATGTGTTCCTTTTAATGTTAACTCTGAGAATTTGGTTGCACATCAAGATAAAGTCACCTAGTTGAATATTTGCATTATTTTCATCAGCTACCACTTCAACAATGTTTTCACATAGCATTACAATTTATTGTCAGTTTGGTAAGGTGCGACAAAGCTTTGGTGAGGAAGTTTTGGACTTAAAATTACGGTGTTGCTATGGGCAACTTTTGTTTCCAATGGTAACAACATCGTTGCCTGCAATTTTGTGCGCTTTGCTGCCAATGACGTCAAAGGCCAACAAGTTGCCAGAGGAAGTGGAGCCAGTTGCCCACGACAACAACACAAGCTGAATGTTAAAACCTGGTCACTAATTTTGTTGTGACTTACTCCACTGCTTATCACAATAAGACAAAATTGCCCACGTGATCAATTGGCTTTTTATGGTACAAACCTATCAATAGCTTTGTTTTGCTTGGTGTCGCTTTTTTTGAGAAACTCGTGTAGTAGAATCATTCTCCTGGTTTGCTTTGATATTGCAAAACAGCTTACTACTCGTCAAACTGTTCACTCACTTTTAGTGTGGCTAAACAGTCTGACAGGGTGTTGACTGTGGCTAGACATTTGCAGACACTGCCACATTACAACAATCTGTAATTTTGTGGTCAACTGGGAAAGTTCTCATATACTTAATGACTGGTTCTCAGGGAAATAATGACTTTTGTTTTCCAAAATATTAATTTGTACCAGGAAAATATTGAGATTCCAAGGAAACACATTAAATGATTTCCGAAGGAATCAGTCTTGATGTAATTAGTTATAAATCATAGAAGGACAAAGACAATAAGTAGATACATTGTGAAAATGGCAGTCTTGGATCTATATTCTTGGAAATCAGTGCACTGCACCTTCTGACAATGATATTGCAATGTTACTTGCTCGGAGACTTTTGGTGGGAAATAAGAGAACACACTGGTGGAGAAAAATTCCAGCTATATAACAATGTTGATTAATATGTCAGGGTAGTCTTGAGGTAAATTCAAGTGTTCCGATTGGTTCTTTCTTGGTTAAATTTTACTCTATGAATGTGTATTTTTTTGTTCTTGAAAGCCAGCAAATTCAGTGACTACTTACTAACCTAGGTTGCTCAAGCTGCACTGGGAAATCTTTAAACTTGTAAAGCTTTACTTCACAAAGTCTTTTATTGCTGTACATCTTAGAGTTGTCATACACTGGTAACTTCAACTATAGAGCTGTGAAAAAGTGTGCGATAATATTACTGTTAGGAAATAAATAATTGTGACAGCCAGATTTTTCTGACCAAATCTTGGTCTAGTGTGGAAATTTGGGTTATACTGGTAGACTACCAACTTTTAATAATTGCTTGTAATATTCCTTGAGTGGTCTCCACTGTATCATGCTCTTGGTCTTGTGAATGTAAATCTGAGAGGAGACTTTCTATGCTTGCTACATAAAGCGCTCTTGCAGTTAAAAAATAGTTGGATTGTATGAAATTATGTAATGTAGCCCAGGGGGGTGGGTCTACAATATGAAAAGGACGGGGGTGCAGCGCTCGTCATACCTGTTAGGGGTTTAAAAAGCAGTTTTGGTATCTTTTAGGCTGTTCAACCTCAAAAGGTCCACAGTAGGAGCTTTAGCAGGATCTTTTAGGTTATGCCGCACCCACAAAACAGGATCTTGATATCTCTTAGGGGCTCTTTTCAAAATTTATGACTAGCACCCCGTCCTTTTTATATGAGACTTCCCCCGCGGGAATGTAGGTGTAGGCATTTTATTTATGATTTTAAAGCGAAGAAAAAGTATAAGTTACTGGTTTTAATTAAAGATAACTTCCGTCGAAGAAAATATTGTAATTACAGCAATTGTTGTACATATATACTGTATCCTTGTATCGATTGTCTTGTGTTGGAAACTGTTGGGAGAGCGAATGGTTTGAGTGTGTATGTTATGTCACACTGCCACTCTACACGCTGTAGGTGCCTAAGATTCTTGTCTCGTCTTCTGTGCATGAAATAAATCACTCGAATGGGATGCAGGAGCGCTAAATGATACCAGGTGAAGTTTAAAATATTATTTCAGCTTTTAAATTCAATTTGGCAGTTCTCAGTGTTCTCGATAGAATTTCAAAAAATCCAAATAAATCCCAGCTCCGTATAAACTCATTAAAGTACACTTTGGTCAGCTGCCATCCTTATCGTTTACCCCTTGTGCCTTCCCAGAATGCCTCTTGTGCTGCGTAATGATCTGTTATTCTCTCTGTAGACTGCCCTGAAGACTAGATTTTATCTATATTTTTCAAACCCATGGAGAAGTAATTCATCAAGTTATTAACCATGATGGTGTTTGGATATCTGATCTTTACATAGTTAAACAATTTTATTTCTTCGTTTCCTCTTTACTTTTAATTTTGATTTAGAAGACATATCAAACACTCATGAAAGTGTTTGACCACAATTCCAAACACTGAAGTTCGCCTAAAGAACTCCCCTACATGTCTTATTTTCAACTCTCTTCTTGGTGTTAGGAAATGTGATCAAACACTGTCTTTGTGTTTGATATATTCCAAAAATTGTCGGTCTGATTAAAAGGAATTGGCAACAGTTGACCCCCACCCAGTATTAACCCCCCTAATTCCAAGAAGCAAAAAATTTTCCAGTAAATTGTAAGCCCTTCCAATTTCATTAGACTGCTCAAAACCCAAAGTAAACATGTGTCTCTCGACAAGTTAATCAAAGCAAAGTGCGAGGCAACATACTTGACTGGGAAGAAAAATTCCTCATGCTGATTGGTAAGAGTGGGTGCGGACAACAGGGGACAAAACCATTTGGTGAAACATGGTAGGTAGCACAACTTTCAACTTTATTTCTGAATTCACTACACAACCCCGAGTTTACTTTTAAGACAATACAGTGTTGCTTGTCACACAAGCATACTGAATTCAGTCGGGGGAGATATTGGTTGATGAGCCCGCCAGTTCTCTTCAGAGTGCATGCCAAGCATGCTGACAAGATGTCAAATTTTGCAACATTTACCGATTGATGACAAAAATTATAATAACAATAATATATTATTTAAATATATGCCCTAATGGAAATGGTACTTTTTAATGTTCAAGTTAATGAATGCAGACTAACCCTGAACGTGGCAAAGGCGGATTTAAAGCATAAAGTAGTAAAATTGCTGCAATACGAAAATTACCCAAACTAAATTTTATATGCATCTGTTTTTTTTCCCCTGTTGTCATGAACTTCGCCCCTAAGCAACCATTCAGCATTAGCGACCATTAGCAGCCTTTTGAATTCTTAATGCATCCAGTTCAGAAACCTTCTACAGGTGGTTTGGGACTATTAAAAGTCATAAGTGAACAAAAAACAGAAAACCTCAGAAAAATGAAATCAAAATTCATGCTGATCACACATTGGCAAAATATTGTGCTTTGAAGTGTAACTGTACCCGAAGGGGTGTGATGAGTATCAGCACCTCGCAGAGTCATGCGTGCTTTCTGTCGCATTTTGTGTGCAACTTGCTAGTTTCCTGCACAATTTTTGCGCCAACCCCTTTCTCTGTGCCACATTTTTCGCGCCATCTGCTTGTTGCCTGTTAAATTTTTCCCACTGCCTCGATGCTTTCCCACTTGTAGTTTATTTATAGATAACAAGACTTACATCTATTTTTGCAATGAATACTCTGACTTAAAGAGAAGCCACTTTAAATCAAAAACCTTTCATCGACAAGTGTCTTTCTTGTGAGATTACTCCTTCCCAACTTATTTCGCAATAACATCACAATCTTACTGAGTACATAGGACATGATGCCCGCAAGAACATAATCAGGGTATATCAAATCCATAGCAGCAAATGTCAACAGGTCAAAAAGCATCAGAGTCCACTCATTGCCATAAAACAGAATCGAGTTAAACGAGCGGCCATCATCGTTGTAAAATATTGCCTTTTCAGGAGGTGGGAGGTCTTTTAGCTCCATGTTTAAGATCCTCTCAAAAAGGAGCTTGTCCCTTACCAGGTAATCAAGGTCCCTCAGTGAGTGATCGATGAAGGCTGACAGAAAGCGATTCAAGGTGTTGTAAGCCTGAAGACGTTTTTCCACAGCTGGGGCGAGGCGACTTCCACGGCCATCTTGCCCTGGTTAAAAAGAAAAAAAAGATAGATAACACCAATGCCAGTGTCGTATGGTCTCGTACTGTGAGTTTTTGAAAGGGGATTCTTAATTCTTGCAGCCCTGCCAAACTTCCGCCTGGTGTGCGCATACTTTTGATTTGTCCTATTTTCTAATTCCCTATCCCTGGGGTATCCTAACCCATATCCCTGGGGTATCCTAATCCCTATTCCAGGGGTAACTAACCAACTTACCCATGGGATTGTTAGGCATGTTCCTCCTCTGCTGCTGCATGTCGCTCTGATGAAGTGGTCGGACAACTTCTTCATACTGTTCACGAAACTTGGCTGGTACTTCAACCTCGAATGTCTGCCGCTCTGAATTGGGTTCAAGGCCCCTCTTACCACACAGGTCTTCTTCTTCCCGCTTGAGCTGTTCATTCATCTGCCACATGTTTGTGTCTGCACGGCCATGAACTGAGCGACCATGTATGTAGTAACCATAACGAGTATTCTAGAAGAAAAGAACAACATAATAAGAGAGCAACAACTGCTCATATGTGTCCAAATCAGGGCTCGACTTTCAGGAAAAAACCTTGGGACCAGCTGGCCCCTAAGTTTTCAAACTTAATTGACAAGCAATTTAAAGTGTTTCAATCAGTGAAAAACATGGAAAGTTAGTTGCCAGTGAAAAAAAATTCAGTTATATTGGCGACCCCAGCAGCCGCAATGTCAAGCTTTGCGAATGGTCTATGGACTGAATGGGGCAGCAATAAGCATAAAAAAAAATCACCTAGTAACAAAACAAAACAAAACGACAACACCAACAGTGACCAAGCCAAGTGTTCTAGAAAAGAACAATTCATTTCATAAAGGAGGCAAAAATTCTAAATGTGTGTCTGTATGGCCACGAATGAGTGTGCCGAGATAATGAGTAATTCTAAAAGAATGTTTCTGCATGGCAATGTACTGATTGTCTGTGAATGTTTGTTGTACAAAGCAGCAAACAAGAAATGATCAACCTCATTACAATTAGAACTACATGTGTGTGTCTGCATGGCCAAGAACTGTTTGGCAGTGAATGGTGGCAATGATAATATATTGAATGACCATTCTCAGTATTCTTGAGAAAAAAGAAACTACATAAGGGAGCAGAAATTCTACAGAATTGTTTCTTGTCAATAGGATAGCTAGAAATTCAATAACTGATGGTCTGAATATAATATACTTCATTATATTTCCACTTACCTCTAAGATAAAGATGCTGACATTACTCATGGAACACAAGTCAATAAAATCACCAAGTGCATCTCCAACAAATCGCTCGTAAATAAATGCAAAAAAGAACCATTGTACAGCTTCCACAGACAGGAATACGATTGACAGAATAGCAAATCGCAAAACCTTGCTGTACTCGCCAACATAATCAGTTGTCGGGTTAACTGTGGTGGTACTCTGTGGGTCTGTTGTTGCCAGATACTCAAGTCCAACTACTTTCAAGAACAACAACACAAGAAAAATCTGTAGCTCTGGATTGATTTTCCGAATCGTTTGGATTTCGTTCCACTCGTTTGCAATAAACAGGGTCCTCCAGATGCTGACTGGGGCATCCATAGCCCCTGCCTCTCCACCCTGGGTAGGTTGGTTTACTCTCCCCTGGGGGCGCTCCCAGTCGACAAAAAATATCTCAAATGAGATTTGAGACCAGAGCATGTGAAGAAGATCGATGATCTTGAATGCAATGGTTACACCCACCAGGTCGAGAAACAATCGTTCTTGGCTTGGTGTTGGAAGAAGCTGGTAAACTGTCTTTTGTCTTTTGAAAAAAATGAGCCACTGAACTGACAATCCAAAAATGACCCAGAAAAACATGGTAGAGATTGTGCCAAAACAAAACAGAATGAACTTCAGCAAGGAAGCACCATCAATTTCAATACGGCCCTGTCGACGTCTCCATGCCATCACCTTGACCAAAGCCAATAGGGCAGCCAGAGCAGAGAGGCAACCAATGGCTATCTGTCAGTAAAGAAGAAAAAAAGGATGACGGTAAGTTGTTGAATGTTTAAAGAGGTTGATACACTTAGTGGCACCTAGCTAGTTCTCAGGGATGCCACTTAAACTGAAAGAAACAAATATTTCAAATCAACATCAGGGTTGTTCTCTAGAAGTGCCCAGGTGCCACCGGCGATTAACTTTTCCCTTTGGGTGAGTGGAAAAACTTTCTTTTTTCATATAAGCTTAAGTGCTGGGTGCCCAGGATTTCATGGTTAGGAACCTGTGGGCTACTCATAATTTTTCTTGGACCACAACCTTGAACATAATAGCCTAAAAAATCCCAACTGGCGGGAGACAGACCAGTTGACTATTAAATAGCCAACTGGTCTTACAAACATGACTGAAGAGATAAACTAAGGTCTACCAAGAAACAATTCTTCCTTCCTCTCGTGATTACTAGTGACCTTCTTTGGGGATGGGAATAGGTACTTCCTGAAACTCTAAAACTGTACAAAGAGCTTGAGAAAATTTTTTGGGAATTAATGACTGCTGGTAAAAATACCTCTGTATCCTTCTTTATTGTGGATGTATCCATTTCGTAAGTGACAGCAAAAGATACTTCCTTGTCGCTGTTCAGTGTATCTTCATCATTCAAGTCAAGTGCATCATACTTGATACGCAACATCGGAGGATATATTTCACCGTCGGATGAGCGCAACCTTATGTTCAGCTCAATCTTTGAAGAATAACGGATATACTGCAGTTCCTGATTACCACCGGCTGATATTCCAATAAGATTATCAGTGACATAGAATCTTCTTGTGAGTACCCACTTTTCTCTGTCACTGCCCTCGTTCACATTTTCGTCATTCTCCACATAATTTTCCATCAGTACCGGTACAGGGTAGAGGTCGTCACCCAGGGAAAGAAACATGTCATACAGGAACATGGGCATTTTTGTCATCTCTTTCACTGCGATTGAACAAGATGAGCGATACGTTGTTGCAAACCTTAAAGCAGCAGCCATTTTTGAAGGCCGGTCTTTGCACATCTGGAGAGTATCAAGGCCGTTTTCATAACCAACAAATGAGCCATTCAGCGTGTACACTGCAAGAACAAAGCCTATGTCTTCGTTTCGCTGAAACTTTTTTGTGATCTCCTTTTTGTCTAGGACCTCTGGTGCATCGCTGGCTGATGATTGATAAAACAGCCAAGGCATTACTACAGGCCAGTCTCTGTTGTCATCATTTACGATTCCGAGGGGAATTTTGCTGTTTACAAGGTCAGTGTATTCTTTACAAGCGGATCCACCCTGAGTATAGTCCAGCAAAACACAGAGATTTCCTAACAGCTGACAGGCTGTGAAGTTTGAATCCGTCTTACACAACGCTTGAGATGCTATAAAATTTGACCGGAAAAACGCCGAATCGAACGACTTCTCGCCATATTCAACTTTGTACATACTACTCGTTTCCTTCAGCAGAACAGTTTCGTCAAAGCATACTCCTCCTGAAATAACAAAACCATTTTCAGTGCAGGAAGAACAGACTGAGACATTACTGGGGAGAAAAAAGCTTGAATGACAGCGTCTACAGGCTTGCAGCTCTTCACCGCCTGGCGTTGTGTCTTCGACACAACGTTCACATTTCCTAGTCGACAATCTTGTTCCGTTACGACTGCGATCTGTGGCAACAGAATCTGAGGGGCAGCTGTTACATGTGCCCGTCTTTACATTAAAACCAACATCGGTGGGACATTCGATGCAGAAACTACCATCAAGGGAGCTTGTAAGATTCCCTGAACCAGCAGCACTGTTGCATGCTTCGCAAACAATCGAAGGACCACCTTTGTTTTCAACCATCTTGAAGCTCGTTTGACAGGTGCAAGACAAACCGTCATTACTTCGTTCCTGACCTGGAGAACCACAGTCTACACAACGTAACGACGAGAACTGAAAATACTGATTGGTTTTACAACTTTCTGGAGTAGTAAAGGGGATCATAAAGTCTATAGATAACGACGGCAAACACCATAACGACCAGATGGACAATATCAACAACTTGCGCGCCATTTTGGACTAATTCATTCGCAGCTTGACTACTAATGGTAAGACCGCTGGAATAGCTTGGGCGCGAAAAATTATAACCAACATGGCGGACAGGTGAGAGCGTGACAGAGGTGTCCAAAAAACAGCTGGATTTCACGACTCCACTATGGTTAAGGAACAGTTCAAGGAATCTGGAGTTACGAAAAAGATGTAAGGCTCTTCTTGTTAGCTTTATTTGTGCCATTTTGGCTTAATATATAGGAGTGTTTATGGAGCCCGCCACATGGGTGGAATTTACTCTTCGTTTAATCTAGGGTACGTCCGGAAAGATACTCAATTTTTTTCTATTTGATCGACACATTATTAATTTAAAAAAATTCATGACTCTCACCCTACCTGGATTTTTGGCGCAGCTCTAGATCTGCTGGAGTTCTGCACCCACCGCCCCCCTCCAACTCTCCAACCCTCTTCTATCTTGGTGCATTAAGGTAACAAGGGTTACCATTTGTTTTTAAAAAAGTTATTATTTACTTTGAATAATGGTAAGAAGCTTTAAAATTTAAGTTATCCTACTGAAAGAGGATCATGTGTACAAAATAAGGCATCTGCTGCAGTTGAGTGTCAATTGATGCCCTTGTTCCACATCTCAGTCAACACTCAATCGACATCTCGATTGATACTCGATCAACACTAGATTGACATTCCACCAACATCTTGATTGACACTGGGTCAACACTCGATCAACAGCTGGTAGAGTGTCGACCGACTCATATGTATCAATCAACACTTGATGGCATGTCTGTGAAAATTAGTCAACCCTCGACTGATGGTTTGCTGAGATGTTGTTTGAGTGTTGACCGAGATGTCGATGAAGGGTCAAATGAGGATGCCTTTAGGACACATGATCCAACTAAGCAAGGCCAAAGTATATAATGAAGGATCACATATTAAAAAAGATTTGAATGGTAGGAGTCTGCATGATTTGAATTATGCAAAAACAATAAATTTAAGCATAATACATTTTGAAGGATGATGACGTATAGAACTCATGTTAGTATGTACAATATATAATTTTAACTTGCTTACAGTATACAAATTTTGTTCCTTTTGCAGAAGCCATGTCAATTTTGGATTGTTCTCCCCAGAGCAAATGCATCAATATGCACACATTCACTGTGTCAGCAAGAACCTGTATAATCAGGACCACGCCCGTACCCCTGTCCCATATGGGGTGTTGGATTCACATATGGTATGGTGGATTTCCTATGGGTTTCAAAATTAAATGCGATTGCTTTTTGTTTCGATTTTTTTTTTGGTGACTTAATTTTATCAGCGCTGAGAACAATGGAACTTAAATTTGTTGATGTGACAGGGAACAAGTAGTAAAGACCGAAACTGTGAAACCTGCGGCAAAGCTCTGGCTGATTGTGTTGGTCACTATGGATACCTGGATCTTGAACTTCCGATCTTCCATGTTGGTTTCTTCAGATCAACCATAGTCATTCTTCAAACGATATGTAAAGTGAGTATGAAACAGTACTGTTGGTTGCATCTAAATTGAGTCGCTTATTACCATTCACGTGTTGGTTGCATCCAAGCTGGTGGGGAGGGGGGGNGGGGGAGAGTTGCTGCCTTATATGGGCACCATGGGTATGTGCGGTCCCAAAGGGTAGGGTTTTCAGCTGTTTTGGTCATAAATAGGGTATTGATTTTGGCCATTTTAGTCATGAATAAGCTATGGTTTTTGCACTCTAGTCTTGAATTGGGTATGTATTAAATAAATTTTTAGAAGAAGTTACTTTTTCAGGTCATAAATAGGGTAGAGAAAATCGTAGAGTTTGGTCATGGGGTTTTAATGGTAAGTGGGCTGCACACCCCCACCCAATTTTTCTGGAAGTACCAGAAGAAGAAAACTTGATTTACTGGTAACTGGGTATCAAGACAGTGTTAAATGAGATGTCTTCAAATGTTTGAAGTTTACTGACCGTAATGAGAACTTCCGTACCATGGTCCAAACTTTCACACCCAAAGTATATAGAAAGAATGCAATGTTGAATACCCAGTTAGATCTTGTTTTTTCATATTGTGCTTATGCTTAGATGAAACTGGCAGTCATAAGCAATTCATTTTAAAGGTAATTTTTGAGCTTTGAATAAATTGCAAACTTGAGACTTCTATGATGATCAACTGTTAGTTGGTGATGAACAACATGTTTGTGAAAATGATAAATAGTCATTCTTTTTTAAATGTATCCAATTATTTCTTCCCTACAGACATGTTCCAGAGTATTGTTGCCTCCACAAGAAAAGAAGCATTTTCTGGACCAATTAAGTCGACCAGCAGTGTCTTCCTTGATGAAGAAGGGCCTGAAGAAAAAGATTGTTGAAAAGTGTAAAAAGATTTCTCACTGTCCGTACTGTGAAGCATTGAATGGTAAGTTCAGCTGGACCCCATCAATTCAAACTTCATTATTTGAAACTCCCTGTTATATTGAACACAAACCCATTTCCCTCATGTTTTTATATGTGTTTTCAGTCGTTTACTATCGGCTATGTCATGTTTCCTATTTCGCTATTTTCAAACTCACTTTTGTTTCCCCTGGCCTAAAATCGACCATTTATTTTGAACTCCATTCGTAGAGCTTAAAGATAAATGCCATAATGACATCAGACCATGTCAGGACACAGCTAGAATGTTGAAATTTTGCTATAATTCATTAATAATTGATATCACTAAAAAAAAATTAATTCTTGACAGATTAATGGTCCAAAATCTCCTGGAAACTGTTAGTGGTTTTGGTTTGTCCTTTTGTTAGGTTTTGTAAGAAAGAGCGGAATGATGAAGATTGTTCATGAAAAGTACAAATCAGCCAGGAAGTATGTTGATCCTGTCATCTCTGAATTCCAAGCATCATTTGGCTCAGCAATCGAATACAATAAAGAACTGGATACCTTACTCAACAGGGCTCAGGTTTGTGCAAATTATTTGTGTTTTTAGCAGGTGATGTGGGGGCCTATTGGTTAAAGAGCAGCTTTAGGCACTAATCAAGTTTTTGATTGTTTGAGTGCTGGTTAGGATCAATATAATTGTGTTGTGTTTCCAGGCTAAACACTAATTTATTTACTTTCTGAGTTCATCTTCTCCACACCAGGACTATTAATTATTGCAACAACAACAAAAACATCAATGATGAACTCATTTCTTTTAAAAACTCAGACAATAGTCCTTGGCAACCCACAATAAATTAGCAAAGCTCTTCTATACATTGTATGAGCTACTTAACTGTAACAGGGGATCAATGTTATTAAACTCAAAGATCGACCAACTGATCGATCGATCAATCAATCAATCAATCAATCAATCAATCAGTCAGTCAGTCAGTCAGTCAGTCAGTCAATCAATCAATTGTTTTGGCAACCTTTATAAAATTCAGGGGTTTCAATCAAGACAATCAAGTTATAAATGTACATTATACAACTGATTTTGCTTCTTCCTTCAACAGGAAGTGTTAAATCCTCTAAGAGTCATAACATTGTTTGAACAAATTCCAGATCAGGTAAGAGTTGTTAGAAAAGTGCATATTAGATCTTACTAACCACCTGTGAGGGCTACACTGGGAAAGTATTGCCCCTAGGTCTTCAGAATATGGATCAAGCAAATCCAGGTCAGCACAGAGATAGAGTTTCGGTTTTTTTTTCCAGTGGGGTACAATCAGTTCTCTTACATTGTGTGCATTTTTATGTTGCAGTTAAGATTTACTTTTACTAAACAAAGTTTTTGAATTCTGTTTGATTGTTATTTTCTTTGTCTTACTAAAAAAAGATGAAATTGGTAGACCTGAAAAATGTGAAACAAAAACACAAATTTTAATGCCAACAGATATATTCCCATGTGTACCTTTACAGCTTTGGTGAAGTTTAATCGTAAAAATTTGTTTTGTGGTGTTGAACACAATGTCACAGATACTTGCACTTTTCCTTTTTCATTTATTATAAGTACCTTTTATTTCACAGGACTGTCCTTTATTAATGATGAAACCTGAGCTAGGCAGACCAGAGAATCTTATTGTGACACGCCTACTTGTTCCGCCAGTTTGCATCAGGCCATCAGTCATTAGTGATCTCCAGAGTGGAAGGTTTGTTTATTATCTGTTGTTAGAGAACAGTTGTAATAACTTATTAGGGAGTAAAGAAAACCTTGATGGCAACAGCAATGGGAACATCACTAAACAAAATATTAGATGAGCAGAACAATGGCTGTGCACATGCATCCTAATTCATGGTACATTTCTTTGCCTTCCCCTGCAAAACAATGTTCAAATTTGAAATGACCAAATTTTGCGTTGTATGGTGAACGTGAGCAACGACGGCTATTTTTTTTTAATTTCTATTTTGAATTTAACACTGTGTTCCATATTCAGTTTCAAGATAGTTTTGACAGTGAGGAACAAACTAAATGACTTGAGAGTATCTCGAGATTCGTAGGTAACATAAAAGTTCATTTTTTATTTGACATTACCCTCGGCATCGCTGTCGTGGTTTCTCAAACTCCCTATTGATATAGCAAATACATTATATACCCTATATCAAGAAAGACAATATCCCCAGTCAGTGTAACATGCAGACTGCAGACTGCAGACTGTGGACCGGAGATAAAATAGAGACTGAAGGTAAAATGCAGACTGCAGACCAGGGGTAAAATGCAGACTGTAGACTTTTTAACTGACTTTTGCTTCTTGTAGCTTAAAATAATCTTGTGATTCATGTATCATTGACTAGAAAATGTTTCTTGAAAAAAGCAAAAAATAATCTATTTAAGCCAGATAAATCCAGCTTTGATTGATTTTGAGCTTTGCCTGAACAGGAAGTTGCAGGGCAGACTAAATCTGAGTAACCTTTAATTTTTTTTCTGGCAGTAACGAAGATGACCTGACCATGAAGCTGACAGAAATCATTTTCCTCAATGATGTTATTAGCAAACACAGAGCGACTGGAGCTAAAATACAAATGATCATGGTTTGTGCCATTGTAGATAGTTGTTATTGACTGAGCATCAGTAATCATGAATCACTGATCCTTGTGCTGATCATCCCAAAGAAACATACCTTTGATTGGATTTTTGTCCAACTTGCTACTTGTAATTTGTGTCCTCTAATTGTATCTATTAAGTAGGTGCTTCGAGTGAGAAGTACTATTAGACAATACTTAGTAACAACATTAAAAAAGTTGCATTGTGTTTTTTTGTCTCTTATTCATAGGAAGACTGGGATTTCCTTCAGCTTCAATGTGCATTGTATATTAACAGTGAAATGTCAGGAATTCCCCTAAGTATGCAGGTATGTTAGCAATCAATCAGTCAGTCAGTCAGTCAATCAGTCNACTGTTTTACAGTGAAATAGAATTTGGAGACATTAATTACGTTATGTATTTATTTTATTTATTTATTTATTTATTTATCTATTCATTCATTCATTCATTCAATTATTTATTTATTTATTTATTTATTTATTTATTTTATGAGAACTGACAGGCCACTTCCAAGTTGCATATTTCTTCTGTTTAAAAATGAGTCCTGGTATTGTGATACAGAACCTTTCATATGGAATTAGTTTTATCTGCAAAATAATTATTGTCTTGCATATCTTGCAAGCTTGGTTCATCTGCTACACAAATGAAAAAATAAACAGTTTTATAGAAAAGTGCCAGAGCAATACACCTTTTTTTACTTCTAGGCTGTTGTGAGGCCTCATCGGACATTCCGCTTCAATGAGTGTGTTTGCACCCCTTACAATGCAGACTTTGATGGCGATGAAATGAACCTCCACCTTCCACAAACAGAGGAAGCCAAGGCCGAAGCTCTTACACTCATGGGTGTAAGTACAGTGTAAAACTAATATAATTTCATTGTTTTTGAGACACGGGATTTCAAGATTTAATAACTCCACTGTTGTTTAGTTTGTGTTCTGTTGTGAATTGACCATATTCGTATTCTTGGTACTGGACTGGAACTAGCTTGGAATGGAGGCTCATGTGGGGAAATATCATTAAAAAGAGATGAATACGTCATTTGTATTTGAAAAGACTCCCCGCTTTAGCGTCACTCTCAAGCTAGTTCCAGTTCAATACCAAGAATACAAATATGGTCTTTTGTTTGAGCTTGCTATCTTGCTAAGCAAAGTAAAGTTTCCTTTGGATTCATGATGGTTTGATGCAACTACCTCTGGCATAAAGAACTGGCATTTTTGTTCTTTAAAGTAATAAGAAGGCGAGGCTGCATGGGAAAATTTGTGGCCATAACGAACAGTCGACTCTAAGTTTTGGTAAATGTTAGGGTATGAACTCACACATGTGACAAGCTCGCAACACGTGTACAGAATTGCTTCATGCTGAACTGAAATCTACAGCTTCGCAAGCAAGTATATGCTTGAATTGCAGGAAGCAGTTCATACCCTACTCTTGTTGCAAGCTCATCGCATGCGATAAACTTGGACTGTCTAGATTGGCCCTTATAATCTTGATGTTTAGACGTTGGTTCACAGTTATTGTTATGTTCTTTTCTCTGTAGGTAAAATCTAATTTGGTGACACCAAGAAATGGCGAACCTCTTATTGCTGCTATTCAAGACTTCATCACAGGTGTGATAAAACATGAACTAAAATTTCTCACACACTGAATGCCATTTGTCTGCCACACAAGGCAACAGGACTTTAGGAACAAACAACAAACCTGAAAACAGCATCCACAAGGACTAATTGGTGCGACATATGCAATATCAAAGTGTAAGCCTGTTGGCAAAAAAACAGATTGTCGACAATAACTAGAATGTATCAGAAGAGTACAGACTGGCAAAGGGCAGGGTGGGCGGGAAAAGCTGTTGCTCGTATGGCAAGAAACAGAAAATTGAGTCACGAGACCTAGTGTGACACGTGATATCCTAACTTGGGCTCAGCCCCCTACTTCAGTGTGTGAGAACCTCATTTCTTGCCACTTTTGCAAGCTCAGGCAGCGAGAAATCGATACCTTGAATTTAACAAATAGATTCCACATTACCGTGCGTCTGCTGACAAATTGATAACAGATGATGTCAAAATGTGACAAGAACAAAAAAGTGGCACACGACGATGGCGTAGTGTCACTGAGTGCAGATGTTTTTACTGCGATTTGATCTCAGGTGCCGGCTGTTGCTGAAAGCACTGGACTAACTTTAATGCATACTGACTTGCAATTTGATAATTTGATTCAGGATACCCTGACGTTTCTGCTTCTTTCTGTTTGGTGTACACTTCACTTTTTTGGGGCTACAGTCAAATGGTTATATCATCTACTTGCTTGCTGATCTTTATTACTAATTATGTTTTTTACTATAATATTGCAGGGGCTTATCTTCTCACGCAGAAAGATGTTTTCTTCGATCGCAGTCATATCACCCAGCTGTTAGCTTATATCCTGGCTGGGAAGGATGTAAATATCAGAATTGATCTGCCACCTCCTGTCATTGTAAAGGTCAGTTTGTCGGTCAACTGGTCGGTCACTGATATCAATGATGATGATAATAATGATGATGATGACGATGATGAAATGGGTCATGTTGTTTTCAATAATCATTTTATCTCACCGCAGCCAGTGAAATTATGGACTGGAAAGCAAGTCTTCAATGTCGTGCTACGACCAAACAAGGACATGCCAATCAAGATGAATTTACGAACAAAAGGCAAACAGTACACAAGTGGAGAAGATCTTTGTGTGAAAGACTCTTGTAAGTGAAATTCTAGGACATGCTTTTTTATTAGTAGAAGCACTCTCGTCGCCTTTCCTCTTTCTCTTCCTCACCCTCTTCTGCTTCCACTTTTGCCCCGTCTTCCATTTCCACTTCCTCTTCGTTTTCCGTTTTCTTTTCCACTTGCACCTCCTCACCCGTCTTCCACTTCCGCTTCCTCTTTTTTTTCCGTTTCCATTTTCACTTCCGCCTCTTCTCCCCTCTTCCACTTCAGCTTGCTCTTCCACTTCGGCTTCCTTTTCCACTTCCACTTTTGCTTCCTCTTCATCTTCCGTTTGCTCTTCCACTTCCGTCTCCTTTACCTTTTTTCTCCGCTTCCATTTCCGCCACTCTCTTCCTCTTCCTCATTTTCATCCATTTTCTTCTGTGATCAGATGTGGTGATTCATAACAGTGAACTGATGTGTGGAGCATTGGACAAGGCAGTGCTGGGATCTGGCTCCAAGAACAGTATCTTCTATGTTCTTCTCAGAGACTTTGGTGGTCAGGTATGCCATTAACCAGTCAAACAAGCCAAACCTCTGGTCGACTTGCATGGAAAATCGAAAGCATGTCAAATTTGATTAGAGTGTATAAGAGTCAACTAAGATCTTGAATTGCGCAGCTTGTCCNATAAATTCTCACTTCAGGTCTATTACCGCGAAAGAATCGTTTATTTACAATTTATCGCGACAAATTTCTCCTTCAACTTCTGATAACCTATTTCCCTGATTTTGCGTCGGTACGCTTAAGTTTCTGCTACTCAAAGCGACAATTCTCCTTACCGAACCATATAAAGTTCTTTTGACATAAGCATTGAGAATTTGGTGTTAAATCGAGACAATGTGCTTACGTTGATGTCTTTCTATATTCTCATCACTTGCCTGGTTGATAACGTATCGCTAAGATAAGGAGAATTTACATGTCGACCGCTTTTATTTGCCAGGTAATAGAGGATTCTCCATCGGTATCGGTGACGTCACGCCGGGGCAAGGTCTTCTGAAAGCAAAGGACGATCTTCTCAGTAACGGGTTCGTTTTTTAAAAAACGGAGGTTTCACTCTGAAAGCGCATCAAATGTTTCCCGTCCACGCTACGCCGGAGGAAAAACGCAACAATTACCGGTCACTTAAGATTTGCATTTGAAGAAACCTCGGGCAAGGAAATCACTTGATTATCGTAACGTCCTCGTTTTCGAAAAGCTCCGTTTTTGTGACGGATTAGTGTGGACAGTAGACCTAACCGTAGAAATAAAGCTGCGTTTTCAAATTTATCCGGCGTAGTATGGTGGGGCCTTAAACAAAGCTAAAACTAACCTTTACTGCTTACTACCTATAACCTCGGGTGGTGTTTATTTAACAGTAGGGAGTTTAAGAAAACCACGACGGCAACGACAACAGCTACGTCGGTAAACAAAAGTTTTAATGAGCAGAACAATGGCTGTGCACGTGCGTTATAATTCTTGGTACATTTCTTTGCNTCGGCGACTTTAATGTCGGTGGGTAACTTTGCAATGGACTAGCATCCCACCCAGGAAGGGGGGGGTAGAAATACTGCTAGTCGCTTCATGCTACTGAAACCGGGATAAGCTCAGACCTGATGGGCCACTTGGCTCGTGTGAAGACTTTACCTTTTACCTTTCTGTATAGAAGTGCAGTTTTGAATTGATTTTAAAATGTAAGATTGAAAAGACAGGCTATGCGTTTTTATTTCAGTTATTCCAAGTGTGACAACTTCATCCAGGATTTCAAAGAAGGCAAGTTACAAACTCAGCCAGGTTGTAGCGCAGATGATACGCTTGAGGTGAGTGTTCAGCAAACTGAGAACATTTGTATTGTAGTTGATATAATTGCAAGGCTACAGGCATTAAGACTATGACACACTTGGCCGCTTTCATGAAACATAATTACCGATGCTCTATAGAGAGAAGTATTTCCGAAGTCTCTTTCGAAGTTGGCCGAAGTTTACTAGGAGATTTCCGAAACTTGTCGAAGATAATTAGAATACTTCTACGGATTTCCGAAGATTTCCGAAGATTCCAAAGACCATCTGAATTAATTTTAATAACTGCCCAACATAAAATGTTGAGGGCTAACCTGGAGTACGATTTACGCCCAGGTAACTTTGCACGTATTTCATTCTAAAATGTTTGTGTGTTTTTATTGTTTCAGGCTGTGATTCTAAAGGAACTTTCTGTCATCAGAGATCACGCAGGAAAGGCATGCCTGCGTGAACTACACAAGACAAACAGTCCCCTAACAATGGCGGTCTGTGGTTCAAAAGGTCAGTGGACAGTTCGCTGCTATGTGTTATTCTCAAGATGAGACATTAAACATTGCACAGAAGCTTTTATTTGAATGGTCACTAACTAGGATTTCATCCACAAACTTTAATGTTAGAACCACCTTGTACAGCATAATAAACAGTACCACATGAAAGTACTGCTCAATAGCTTTCATTTGAATGGTTACACACTAAGGTTTTACCCGCAGACTTAGCAGTTAAAACCACCTTGTACAGCATAATAAACAGTACCACATGAAAGTACTGCTCAATAGCTTTCATTCAAATGGTCTCACACTAGGCTTTCACCCGCAGAATTGCGGAAAGTTAAAACCACATTGTAAAGCGGAATAAGCAGTACCACATGAAAGTACTGCTCAATAGCTTTCTTTTGAATGGTCACACACGAGGGTTTCATCCACAGACTTAAAAAGTCATAATAAGCAGTACTTCATGGAAAGATTGCTCAAAAACTTCCTTTTGAATGGTGTTATTGTAGGGTTTGTTCGCCTGCGAAAGCGGTAGTCTTCTATTGTTCTGTTTTTAATGATATTGAACGTGGCCACTTAAATTAACTTTCTCCTTATTACGACAGCCTCATGCGCCTGGTTAACTGTTTTTTTTGTCCGTTTGTGTTAACCTTTACAGGTTCGTTCATCAACATCTCACAGATGATCGCTTGTGTGGGACAGCAGGCCATCTCTGGCAAGAGAATTCCAAATGGATTTGAAGACAGAGCGCTGCCTCACTTCAAACGACACTGTAAGACCTGTTTCCCCTTCCACCTCCTCCCCTAAAATAATGCAGTTTTAACCTTGAAGACTCCTTCATGCCATCCGTTTATTGATTGGGGTTTCTCTTTTCTTGGAAAAGTGACTGCTCTAGAAAAAATTCATATGAAACATTCGTTTGAATTTTAGCTTTATTTTGCGAGAAAGATGCGAAGCATTTTGTCGCTTCGATTTTTTAATCAATCTACCATTAACCTTGCCTCATTAATAACTGATTTGATTTCTTGTTTTAAATGTATTGTTCATTGTTCTCAATGTATTTCTGTACAGCAAAATTTCCCGCCGCGAAAGGATTTGTAAAGAACAGCTTCTATTCCGGGCTAACTCCAACGGAGTTCTTCTTTCACACCATGGCTGGAAGAGAAGGTATTATCAACATATAAATTCTCCTTAATAGCGTTCACCTATTTTCTGTAATTCATCTTGGGAGAAATTGATTTTTGATCAAGAATTTTTCCTGAGATGATTAGATCCTTAATTCCCTTAACCTGTTTGCTTGAATGGTAGGGAGAAACTAGAAGTTGATAATCAAGTCAGTTTTTCACTTGTGTTCCACCAATGTAGTCTTATTTGTGACAGAAAACAGAAACGGCTGACTGATTTTAAGATGAAGGGTGGGTTTGCATTTCAAATTTTATTTTTTCTGAGAGGGTTGTTATATTTGAAGAGAGACACTAAATGCAGGAAACAGAGTATGTAACAAATATTTTATCTGTCATTTAGGACTTGTGGATACTGCTGTCAAGACTGCAGAAACTGGATACATGCAAAGGAGATTGGTTAAGGTATTTGGGCCTTTATTAGCTTGTGCTTATTACAAAAATAACTCAGTTTCAAGACAGGTTTGCTTGTCAAGGGGCGGTGGCCTCATGGTTAGTGCT